ATGTTGAGCCTTATCACACGCCTAAGCTTGCATCAACTGCTAGTAAAGTGGGTTATGAGAAGTCGAATTTCTTGGAATCGAGTAAAACGGGACACTATTTGCATGAATACAACTACAATAAGGTGAGTGACCTATGTTATTCGTTTTGACTGCACCTAAGGTTGAAAATAGAATGGTAAGTAAAATTAATATGTGAACCTCCTTCTGCGTCGACGCTGCGTTGCTAGCGCGATTTGCAAGCTTTGAAGGTGTTACGGTAGACATTCTGCGGAGTCGCCGTGAGAATCGAGGAGCATGCTGCTTAGATCTCCTCTGTTAGCTTAAATGCTTGCCTTTCATCGGATTTTTCAGGCAAGGAAACAAAAAAAAGTCCGGGGGGACCACATCTGGGTTGTAGGGCGGCTGCGGAAGGCTTGGGATGCCGGCCATGGTTAGCGGACGATGCCTTTGATGTCAAAAAAGGCAATGAGCATCGTTTTCACTTTATGTTTGCTAATTTTTCCGATGTTCATTAGCGACTTCTTCCCGGCCCTCCAAAAAGGCCTGGGACCACTGAAACACAATCACAGAAACACGTCGCGCGTAAATGTTTGTCTTGACTCTCCAAGTTAGCTAGGAACGCCCTCTACCGAATCTAGTCGGTGGGCGCACGAATTGAATTACAGTCGCGGCGGAAGAAATTCAGCCCTACTGCTTTCCGGAAAAACTCTGTACTTCTCCTTGCAAACATGACCTATTTCTACTTTATGCCAAAATCGTTTTTTTCTGATTGTAGCCTGTTAGTTGGAGTGAATGGAGCGATGCGAGTGAATGTGCCTCTGGATGTCTCTATGGACCTTCGCGGCGTCTGCTCGAAGGCAGCACAGGTCTGCGCACATACTCACGTCGTTGTGTGGATCATTATAGACGCTGTCTCGGCCCTGCCCATAAATATGAGTCTTGCGTAGCCAAAGATTGTTACAGCTCGAAAATCGTTATGACAATTGAAGAATTCGCTTATGACAAGTGTAGTCGTGCGCAAAAGTCGGATGCAGAGCTGACGGGCGAGGGCGTGCAGATAATTGGTGATATTGGTAAGTAAAAAAAAACTACTAGAACTACATTTTTATGACCTCATGTACATTTTTGTAGAGGAATCTTGCAAAGTTTACTGCCGCACGAAAACGAATGGCACTAAAACGCGCCGTTGGACTTTCCCTGAGGGCACCACATGCCGCACCACACTTTACAAAGCCGAAGATATATCATACTGCATTAGTGGGCGGTGTGAGAAGTTCTCATGTGACAACTCGACACACAACTACTACAAATTGGATCCGCATTTTTGCGAGCAACGTAGGTCGTCACCAGCACGTGCCGAGGAATCGGAGAGTCGACGCTACAACACGGTGCATGTCACCACCGCTAGTGGCAATAACTTAAGTTATAATAAAAATTATCATAACAACAACAACATACCACAGTACAACATTTATGCACCAACAACATATCGCAGTAAATACGAGAATGGTGAGTAATTTCGGTGTATTTGAAAAGGTGGCATTTACTATATCGCCTTTTTTATTGCAGAGGTGGCCGTACGCAATATCCATGGTCAGGAGCGCGAATCGCCCTACAAACGTAAATCGGGCGGCTATCAGCMGTGGAATAAATATAGTTATCCGCTGCGTGACACAGCGCAACCCGTAGCGCAGCCACAGCCGCCGAAGCCGCCACCTCCCGTCTCGGCCTCTTTGGTGGCGCTGGACACGTCAGTAACGGCGGCGGCAGCAGAGCCCGAATGGATTGTCAAATCGGGTTGTCATTCGAGTTGCATGGCCAAATCGAAGGGCATTCAAGTGGTGACCTCGCGTCGCACCGGTGCCAATAACATACAGTTGTGCACGCATACCGCCAAGGTATACAGTTAAATATGAGCACAACTTTTGTGCGCCAATAAATTTTCCACCTTTTAATTTGCTTTTGGTGTTTTTTTTTGTTTTTTGTAATATTATTATAATTTTCAAATTTACTGTTGAATTATTGTAGCCTTGTGAACGTTTACTGTCGGCCACCGAACATGCGGAACACACTTGTGCGCGCTACAAGCAAAAAGTGCGCGGCCTCTCTGGCTATGGCACTCAAATTGCGGCGAGCGTCGATGAGCCGGATAGGAGTTGTCGTGTCGGCTGCCAGGATGAATCTATTAAGTATCGCTTCTATTTAGTGAATGGCCGGTATGGGCACTTTCCGCTGGGCACTAAATGCTCAAACAYCGAGGAACGTTATTGCGTCAATGGCAAGTGCTTGGAATTTGGGCCAGACAATATACCGCTACAGCAGTCGCATATCAGTTTGGCCTTGTTCCGCAGTCGCCGTCGCCGTTCGCTGCCGTCGTTTGATGATGGGTTGTTACAGCGTGAACCTGTGTTAYCTACGGTGGAGAGTRTRCGCCAKCGTCGTAGCTATCTTTACTTTGACCCCGTAAATATCACGGAAACAATCACACAAGATTTCATAAATACCATTGTGATGAGCATAATGGACTTTGAGCAAAAGAGTGTCGAAGGTGAGTGAAAATATTTATTAAAAAATCAAGAAGACTTGTTTTGCAGTGTATGACAGCTTCGGTTTTCTAACGAAATATCAAGTTTTTAGAATTTATGTTCCCTTTGACCTACTAATATTCCATTGTATGGTATTTGTAAGCTTTCTGCTAAAACTCCCTACAAATTGTGCAATACCTATGTACAGATTTTTTCATGTAGAATTATTGGTCTTAAGGTTAATGTGACTATTTTTTGAATACTTTTAGTGTTTACTTTTATAGATAATATTGATTTCTTTAAGCCTCTAGAAATCATTTTTTAGGAAAATCCATAAATCGAAATCCGCTGGTCAATAATTATCAAAAGCTCGTCGGAGGTACTGTCTAAAAGTTTAATTTTAAATAACAAGAGAACTAAGAACCACACCAACGGCTACACTGTGGATAAAATAGACCACATACCCTTATGCTCTATCTGGTAGAGAAGGTTTCAAGTCACAATAAAAGAGGGTGGATGGCCCAGGGCATGCGACCTAAGAGCTGAACGTTGAACATTTACACGGGCGGGTCCAAAATGGATCATAGAGTTTGACTAATCTATGACATGGAGCTACATCTCAGACAAGCCTTCAGCTACCGAAATAGTGTAGTATCCTCCAGGCACAAGTCTTTGAGATGAGGAAAGCTGTTAAGATAGCTGATAGTGCTGGAAACGACATAAATAATATCAACAGATATGACGATAGAAAAGCGGAAATTTCAGCAATAGCACATTGGAATGTCGTTAGAAGGAGCAAGACCGGAAAGGTATCCGATTGGCAACTGAACCAGCGCAAGAAATACACTAGTCGCTAACAACGATATAAATTGAAATTTCCGAAAGGGTTAACAGACGAATCAGATTGATATGGAATGCTTTAGGGGCATGCAAAAAGCGACAAGATCATTTGCAAGAGAGCGAACGGAAAGCTTGTAAGTTTTCTACTCAAACCATAACGAAAAGACGCTTATTAGCCTAGTCACAGCTCACAACATACTAGTGTCACATGCAAGCCGGATGAGAATTATTAAGGAGGACAGTAGAATTGAAAGAGACACTGGAACGCCTCCTCTGGTTAGACGGCTGATAGAGAGGATTACACGTGGACTGCTGTATGTAGTCCTTTGTGAAGGCATAGAAAACAAGAGCAAAACAAGATGGTGCTTGCTGGGTAACGCTTAATGACCTGCGGCCTTTCCACTCCTGACCGACTTTAGTCTTATCTAAGACTCTGCTTAGATAGCTAGGAGCTTCGCAGTTCGTGAGATTGGATGAAGTATCAGAATTAGTTGTCAAGTCTTTAATCAACTTCGGCAAAGCGGTGCCGTCCAGCATGACATTAATTTCAGCTCGTGTTAATAATTAACTTCCCTCTGGCATCACAAACGCCATATAGGTCTCTATATGGTTGTGGCTAACCTACCTTTATTTTTCGAAAAAAAATGAAGGTAGCCTTTTTGTGGAAATAACTAAATGTTTCGATTTTTAGTAGTTCATCTTCATTGATTTATAAATATACTAGGGGATCCGGCCACGCGTTGCTGTGGTATACATTTTATACTTTTCTGTTACTATTCATATAATAAACTATTCAACACAGTGAAACTTCTAGTTACTACTAAAGGTGTTAGTCGGTATAAGAATCCAAGCGATTGTATTTGAGATTTAATTTTGAATATGTTCATCCCAATAAATTTCATTGGAAAAAATAAAGAATTTTAGTTACCAGCCCTTCTGTCCAGTTAATATAGTTGTCCGCTTAATAGATTCTACTTAGTAAACATCAATAATGTGCCCATTTAATAGAGCTTTCATTGTATTTTCTATTTATGAATTATTTTTATCATCCTATCTTCTAAGTTGGTTCGAACTGGACACAKWGTGCTAAATTTTACTAAAATCGGTTCAGTAGTTTAGGCGTTCATCGCGGACAAACAACGTGACWCGTGCTTTTTATATATAATGTCACCAGCATTCAACAATAAAACTCTCTACCACATTTTGTATTTAAAGACGAAAGAAAAACTGAAAATCATGAGAGTATTTTAAATAGGGGTAATATATCCTTACCTAAAATGTAAAATATCTTTTTTAATAGATTTATAGGCGCAGGTAAAACGATATGTACATTCGATGAGATTTAATTCATTTGAATGAGCGAGTCAAAAAGCTTCTAGCTGGCTTTAGGGAAGAAGCTGAAACTCTTCAGGTATATATATTATTTCGATATGATAGAGAACAGTCGAATTAAAAATTTTTTTTTACATTATATAAAGAATTATATTTTAAAACCAAAASTCCGCATCTTATTACACATAAACCCCCCAAACTAAAGCATTCTCGTAACTCATTTCAGATGAATTACTCAATCRTGATCACATCGAATTCAATAACCCCATACACATAGCAACAGAAGTGGAAGCAACAACGGAACTCCAAGCGACTACATAATTTCTTGTATCCATTTTCTTTRCGAATTAGCAGCAACAAATATCGAATTGCAAATTATTTATACCTAGATATCTAACTARTATTTTAAAACACATACACACACATATATATGAATTTTTTGTGTGTTCGATCAGCGTATTAAACGAGCATTGAAGTGGGTGTGTGTGYGCTATTGTAGTGATATTTTCATTAGGATTTTGAATAAATCATAGCTTTCGAATTGATCTTAAGTTAAACAACAACAGCAAAACAAAAATGTAAACGTTATTTATGTACAAATGTATGTACTTTATTTGCGTATAATATAGTATGCTGATAAG